CCAATTGGGCGTGGGGGGGAGGCACGTCGACCCGGCGTGGGGCGGGCTCGAGCAGGCAAGGCGGGGGGGATGTGTGGAGCCTGTCGCAGCCTGGGGCCGCGCCCCGCGCCCTCCCGCAGCTCAGCGCAGCGCAGCGCAGCGCCGCGCCGCCCCCGGGGCTCTGTCGCCCTGTGTCGATCTGTTCCTGCGTCCCATTCGCCTGAATCGCAGTGCGGCGGTGCCCGGGCAGCTTGGTGCTTCCAGCGGCCTCCCTCCGGCACTTTCAGAGGGGCAGGGGCGTCCGCCGCTGCAACCAGCCCCGCGTGCACAAAACCACCCTGCCCTCTCCTTGGCTTCAGACTAACGCGGCCATCTGTGTCAGTCTGGTCGTGGCCACTGGGAACGCGGCGCATCACAGCCCACGCTCAGCAATAACAAAACTGCAACAAATTCACGCCCGCCTGGCGCTTCTGGGTTAGTATTACCTTGTATGCTAGGTTTGAATGCTAGCACCACGGATGAAAGGGACTTGGGGGTCATGATTGACCACAAGATGAACATGAGCCTTCAATGTGATGCTGCAGCTAGTAAAGAGCAAAACGCTGGCTTGCATCCATAGATGCTTCTCAAGCAAATCCCAGGGCATCATTCTCCCCTTGTACTCGGCCTTGGTGAGGCTGCAGCTGGAGCACTGTGTCCAGTTTTGGGCTCTGCAATTCAAAAAGGATGTGGAGAAGCTTGAGCGAGTGCAGAGGAGAGCCATGTGACTGATCAGAGGTCAGGAAAACAGACCTTACGATGACAGGCTGAGAGCTATGGGACTCTTCAGCCTGGAAAAGCGCAGGCTCAGGGGGGATCTGGTGGCCACCTATAAGTTTATCAGGGGTGTTCACCAGGATCTGGGGGAACATCTGTTCACTAGCGCGCCCCAAAGGATGACAAAAATTGAATGGTCACAAACTCCTCTGCAACTGTTTCAAGCTAGACATAAGGAAGAACTTCTTTACTGTCCAAGCCCCCAAGATTTGGACTAGACTGCCACTGGAGGTGGTTCAAGCCCCCACTTTGAACACCTTCAAGAGACATTTGGATGTTTATCTTGCTGGGATCCTATGATCCCTGCTGACTTCCTGTCCCTGGGCAGGGGGCTGGACTCGATGATCCTCCGGGGTCCCTTCCAGCCCTAATGTCTATGAAATCTATGAATCCTCCTGGCAACAAGAAGGTAGAGCACAATCTCACCCTCTATAAGCTAAGCAATAGGGTGACCCTAGTAAGGGTTTGTGACACAAGCAGTTTTGACTGACTGTTTCCATACAGTAGTTACTTAAGGTTTTCTTGTTTTTTAAGCATGACTTGAACAATGTCCATTGATCAGTTCATTCAAGCCCTGAGCTCAAGCAGCCCCTGAATAGGGCACTAAAACTAGTTAAAATCTATTTTCACAGAAAAACGAGCAGCTGTGGAGCTGATCACCAGGGATCCTGGTCTTCTCTGGTAAAATAAAATCACAAATTCTCTAAAAAACCTCCAAATCCTCAATTAAAATGAGACCCCACTATATAGGTATCAATTGAACACAATGTTTTATTGATATGTTTACAATTTTAAACATATCGATTTGGAAGCCTACCAGTGCCTCAATCACTATAATAAAATAAATTCTAACTACCTATGTAACCCGGGTGATACTCCAAGATGTACCCCCTCTCCAATTGAAGGGATCAGAGCAGGTGCACAAGCGCTGTGGGAGGTGTAGGGACCCCCCTCCCCCTATAGAGCAGAGCCAGATCACTAATGGGGACTTAACTATATACTTTTTAATGAGAGAACAGTAGTGAGAACATAACAGGTATAAAACCAGGGGGTATAAGGGACACTACAACACTCTGAGGGGGCAGGATTCAATAAAGGTTAGACACTTACGATCATAGGCATATTCGTCCAGTTGACAAAAGACAAGGCTGACAAAATATAAAACATGAACAGCAGAACAAACAATACTCGTTGGCAAAATATAAAAAGGCACAAAATACAAAAAGTTAAATAACAAGGAATATAGGATCTAGGTACCTGGAAGGGTGGGGGAGAGAGGGAAAACACAATGACCCCTTCCCACTGCAACAAGAACTTCTCCCCATCACTTCACTCACACTAAGTTATCCCAGCTGGGACTTGAACTCAGAGCTCCTATCTGCTAGGCAGAAACTCTACCATACAACCACCAGTGTTGATAGTGCTTCAGACTGCTAGGGATCTTGACCTTCCAGGAGCCCCAGCTTCACATCAAGCTTCCCAACCTCTTATTGGTGGAGCTGGAAGCAGAGCTGGGAACCTCTCAGGTTGCTGCTCAGATCCTTACTGGAGCTGGGTAGTCTCTCCTGCTGGCCACAGCCTCTCCTAGGGGCTCCTGAAACCCAGTGGGGAGCCTCTCCTGCTGGCCGCGCACCGTGCTGCTGAGGGTCCAACTACTGCCTGCAGGTCCCAGTCCTTCAGGTTCTTCTGGGGCAACTGCTTCCACCCCGCTGGCCCAGCTCTTTGAAACTCCTTCCTTGTGGTCCATCACTGGTCTATCCTGAATCAGCTGCGCTGGCCCTTTTATTCCCCTCCAGGTGACCCAAGGAGCCAATCAGGGGGCACGGAGCGTGAGTCTCTGGGGCCTGATTGGTGAGGTGAGGAAAGGGAATCCCAAGCCCTCCAATCATCTTTTACTCTTTCAAAACCCCTGGGCTAAATCACTACGAGCTAGCCCCTCACACCTATGCATTTTGGTATTTCATTTTGGGCTCTATCATGGATAAATCAGAGCTTTCCCTCTCCCCTTTGCTCACCAGGACACAAGTCCAGGCCCCTCACTCCCAAGCCACAGCCATCCAAGCCCTGTTGGTTCCCCTCCCCGCCCAGGCCCTGTGGGTGCGCCTCACCCCCTACCTGCAGCCCCCAGCCCTGCAGGTGCCCCTCCTTCCCCAGCCACAGCCTGGCTGGTGCACCTCATCCCCCCCTGCCTCTTGTGGGAGGCAGTGGCTGCTGCAGTGCCGTGAAGTGCAGAGCGCAGCTCTACCTCTCTCATAGGTGGCACAGCAGGAGCTGATCTTGTGGAGGGCAAGTGGGGGTTGCCCACTGCAGGCTTGGTTGGGGGCTAGCTCCCTGCCACTGTACGCACTCCTGTTCAGGGTGCGGGACCCATGCCCCCTACATCTGTGCGTGGGGTGGGTTGCCTGCTGTGGGCTCCCCGCCCTGCTGCCCTCCCCCAGGTTCCCTGCAGCCTAGCAGGTGGGACTTGGCGCAGCACAGCAGTAGGGCTGGGTAGGGAAACTCCTTGCTGCTGAGCCCCATGCTCCCTTGGCAATGTGCCCCCTGCCCAACCTGCAACAGTGAGTGGCCCAACCCCACTCTGCTGCCCCTGCTGCTGCAGGCGGGCAGGGGGCGCATTGCTAGGGCAGCATGGAGCTTGCAAAGGCAAGGAGCTTCCCTGCCTGGCTGCGCTCTGCCCTGCCACACTGGGTCCTGCTTGCTGGGCTGCAGTGACCCAGGGGGAGGGCAGCAGGGTGGGGAGCCCATGCCTGCAGCAGGCAACTTGCCCCCACCCTGCGCACAGATTTAGGGGGCATGGGTCCCCTTGCCCCCACCAGAGGGCATGCAGCAGTGGGGAACCCCCTCCCGACACTGGATGAGTCAACTGTAGCCCTGTCCTTCTTCCCTCTGGGGCCCCAGGCCCACCCAGCTGGGAAGCAGCCCTAGCCCCAGCCCTTCCCAACTCCCTCCCTGTGGGGGTCTCAATCCCCACTCCTCCCTGGACTTACTTATGGGAGGTGCTCTCCAGGCTTCCTGTTGGCCATGTGCATATACATGCATATGGCGTGCCCTGCCTGACTGCCCTCCACCTGCTCCTTGCAGGCTGGAACTCTGCCAGCCTGCAGACAGCTCTGCAAAAGTGCAAAATCCACGTGTTTCTCTACTAAAATGAGAAATCCACATTTTTCTCAGGTAAACCCGTGTTTTTCACCATTTTTCGAGATCCCCTTTAATCACGCACAGGAAGCTGATTTGGCTGAATGTGAATTGAATAGCTGCTGAAATAGAATTTTATTGTTAAAAAAGCACTTTTCATTTTTCTTTTCATCTTTATGAGTTCGAAAGTATTCATAGGTATGATAATATTTTATTTTTAAAACAGTCTAACAAATTAATAGCAAAATTAAACTTGACCCTCACAAGCTTTCCAAGTGTAGAATCATTGTATTGTCCTTCACCTCTGCAGACAATCATTTCAAGATTGTTCCCATAGTATTATTTTTATCATGGTAGACACTCATCACCATAGGAGCAACACACTCATATTGATTTAATGGCAGTACCATGTTTGCCTAACTGGGTCTCATATCTTTAGACCGGGGTAAGCAACCTTTATAACATGATGGGCCAAAATAATGCAGGTCAGTCTGAAGCAGGCTGTCACTTGTGACTGAGTCATTGTTGCTGCATCCCCTGTCATCAAATTCCTGCTAAAGTGCTTGCCACCTGCTGCTGCATGCCCTTTTTGACTAATTACTTTAAGAACTGATGAAGAATGTCTTGCATACGAAAGTCTGTCTAACTTTATCCTGACTACATAGTTGGTCCAATAAAAGATACCACTCAAAGAAAGCTGTCTCTTGCATAATTGCTGTTGATGCACTTTTGATCCACAGCCAAATTGCCCGAGTTTCAGAGTCCAGATAATATAGCTTGGCAGACCAGACCCAGTCCACAGCCCCCTGCTCTAGACTAATGACAAATAAGTTTAGTGTTAAATGTGTACAGTACCTTTCATCAGATTTCCAAAGCGCTGTCTATATTACATCTATTACCATCTGGGCATTGAAATTTGTATTGCCTTTAGTGGGAGTTTCATGTTTCAGAAAAAAAGGCAAGTCCAACGATCACACTGACTTCAGTGGGAGATGTGCATGTATATCTTGGACAGCCTAACTGTTTCTGCCTCTTTCTTTTGTTTCAAAGATACTGGTTGCTAAAGCAGATGCTGATTAACAATTTACAGCAGTTCTTCCCTACGGCATCACCATTGTCATCTGTGTTGCTTTCTCATCTCACTTTGCAGCTGTCATTTCAGAAAAATGTTATTGTTCAACCTCAGCAACCCTAATCAATTTCCTTTTCAACTGCTGGTGAATCAGTTGGAAGTTCAATGGAAATGGCTGCACAGTAATAATAAAGAGAAGGCATTCCAGGTGCACAGACTACTGATTTGTTTGTCTTTGCCAGATACAGACAAAAATAAAGCATACTTCATTCAGTCATGTCTACACTTTCTTTCTTGATGAAGTCCATCTCTATCAGTGAAGTACAGTAACAGATAAAGGAGGAACACCAGGATTATGTGGTACCAATGCGATCGGGGGTGTACTTGTTTTGTGTGTTCTTCATAATTTCTACAGCTGTACAAACCTGCTTTTTGGCTCCTTAGAATGGAGGAGCAAATTCACTGGCACTTTTAAAAAAAATGTCTGTGTTGCATGTATCTATGTACTTCATTAGATGCAAGTACATGTACAGTTTACCTACTGCATCTGTAATAGCAGGGATGACGTGTAGGGGGTGCATGTGCATACCCTGAGTGTGGCGATGCATCCCCTACAAAAAGATTGGCACTCTCCACCCCCCTGCCAACAGTGCTGGTGGTGTCTGCAGGAGCTCCCGCTTCCTGATGCCACCACTGCACTCCTGCCACTGCTGTGCCCCTCCACGCCCAGCCGCCAGGGGCATGCGTCGTTCACGTGTAATGGCATGGGTGGAAATGGGGCTTCCTATCCATAAAGTGTCATACAACTGTACCACAACACTGACCTGCAGGAGTCACCACCATAACTCATGTTTTCAGTACTGCATTTCAGAACATCAGGGTAAACCAACAGCTGCCATTTTAACTGCTGCATTGTCCAGCTCTTTGAAAAATGAGCAATGAATAGAAATCATAGTATTTCCATTTCTTTTCCACTTTCCATTTGTGGATTCCAAAGCATTTTATAAACAATTATTAAGTAAGCCTTACAGTTCTTTTGCTGGTAGATAATTGTTATGGCAAGTGATTGCCACATTATAACTAACCTTTTGATTGTGAAGTTTGCATTTGTAATATGAGAATTGCTGGTGTATTGTGCTTTTTTTTTAAGCCTGAAATAAACTCCCTTCATCCGTTAAAATAGGAATATAGGTTGACACAGAGAGGCAATATACTAATTAATAATTATTGTTTAAAATCCTGTTTGACTACTCCTACATGGAATGTAGGTGTCAACAGGATTAAATAAATGGCTTCCTGCTATCTGGAAAATGGTATAAACAAAGCTTGGAAAGGAGATATGAGGCTACTGCCATTTCTAGAAAAAACAACGAAGGGGTGAGTGAGATGGGGATTTAATTTGGCCTGGAAATTAAGTACTTGGTTGTTGAAGTGCTTCCCAATACATAAGCAGAGGATGGGGAAGGAATTTTGAGGTGCCTGGGAAGGCAAATACATCCCAAGACAGGAATGTATTTTACAGGAAGGTCAATGTGTATTTTGGGAATATTGTTCCTTAGCTACTTACACAGTAAGTTGAGCATTATTTTTCTCTGTGTGAAATGAGACCTACAAAATATGACATCACTGCTCTATTGGGAATAAATCTGGTCAGAAAAGTATATACAAATCCAATGATAGGCAGTGGCATAGGGAAGAATCCCATTACTCTTTCTGTACCCAAATGGTACCTACCCAGTTGCATGACTGTTGGTTTTGGTACTTATGCATAGTTTGTGTACCACACAGCTACTGAACATGCTCAGTAGACTGTGTGCTGGTTGGGCAAGCAGGCAGTTCCATACATTTATGAATCCTGAAAATGTGGTTGGGCAAAAACTCATGACTAGAGAGTGTTTAGATGGAGGAGGGGAACCCTCCCACTTTTAGCACAATGGTTAAGGCACTTGCCCAAGAAATGGGAGCCCCAGATTCTAGGCCTCCTCACCAATTGGGGTTTGGACCTGCATCTCTTCAACTTGAATTTGCTGATGATACCAAAATTTGGGGAGAGGTGGGCACATTATCAGGGAGGGAGAGACTGCAGAAAGACCTGGATAGGTTGCAGGGGTGGGCTAACAAAAACAGGATGCGTTTCAATACTGACAAGTGCAGGGTGCTGCACTTGGGCAGTAGTAACCAGCAGCACACTTATAAGATGGGAAACTCCTTTCTTGAGAGCACGGAGGCAGAAAGGGATCTTGGAGTCATTATTGACTCCAAGATGAACATGGGCTGACAATGCGAGGTCACGGTCGGCAGGGCTAACCGGACCTTATCGTGCATCCACAGGTGTATCTCAAGTAGGTCCAAGGAGGTGATCCTTGCCCTCTACGCGACACTGGTCAGGCTGCATCTGGAGTACTGTGTCCAGTTCTGGGCACCCCACTTCAAGAGGGATGTGGACAACATTGAGAGGGTCCAGAGAAGGGCCACCTGCATGATCCAGGGACTGCAGGGCAGACCCTACAACGAGAGGTTATGGGACCTGGACCTGTTCAGCCTTCACAAGAGAAGGTTGAGGGAGGACCTGGTGACCATCTATAAACTCACTAGCGGGGACCAGAACGGTTTGGGGGAGACCTTGTTTCCCCTAGTGCCCCCTGGGATAACAAGGAATAATGGCCACAAGTTGTTGGAGAGTAGGCTTAGATTAGACATCCGTAAGAACTACTTCACAGTTAGGGTGGCTAGGATCTGGAACCAACTTCCAAGGGAAGTGGTGCTGGCTCCTACCCTGGGGGTCTTTAAGAAGCAGCTTGATGCCTACCTGGCTGGGGTCATTTGAACCCAGTTTTCTTCCTGCCCAGGCAGGGGGTCGGACTTGAAGATCTGCAAGGTCCCTTCCGACCCTACTTCTATGATTCTATGAACTTCCCACCATAGCAGTCTATCTACCAGGCCGTAGGTAAGGCATTAGCCAGTTCTGTAACAGCCAGGAGAGGGCGCTATATAGGTCCAGGAAGAAGACACTAAACTAGAAGGTGTGAGGCTCATCAGACTGTCACTGTGGAAGGGTGGAGGCCGTGGGTTCTGGATGCTTGCTTCCAACAGGGTAGACACTTACCCATTGTTCTCCATCCACGAACTATTAAATGAAAGGTGCAGTGGCTCAGTTTCAAGATGAGGGATGGATGATGTCTAATCTGTGGCCTGTGATTAGAGCACTGTGTAATGGGAAGTTACAGAGATGTAAATTCAATCTCCCCTTCATGTGAGGGAAGTTTAAAGTCTTCTCCTTCCAGGGGGAGTGCCCCAACCAATAAACGATTGGGCTAAGGTACTGGAGGGCCATCTACTTCCTTGTTCCCGCCCCTGGCTCCCAGATTTTTGTGTTAGAGTTTTGGGATTTATGTTCAAGTAGTTACAGCTTTAGAATACAGCTAGTTGAAAAAAAATCCTAAACACATCTACTTTTTGTAGGAAAAAATATAGCCCATTTTTTGAAAATGGAATACTTTACAAGAAAATTTTCTTTCATAGTTTCATAGTTTTAGGGTCGGAAGGGACCTAATAGATCTTCTAGCCCGACCCCCAGCCAGGGCGGGAGAACAACCCAAAAAAACAAACAAACCCTAAAAACAAAAACGGGACTCAAATGAGTCCAGCCAGGTAAGTATCCAGCCTCTTCTTAAAGATCCCCAGGGTAGGGGCCAGCACCACCTCCCTTGGAAGTTGGTTCCAGCTCCTAGCCGCCCTGACTGTGAAGTAGTTTTTTCGGATGTCCAATCTGTACCTCCTCTCCATCAACTTGTGCCCATTATTCCTTGTTATGCCAGCAGGGGCTAGGGGAAACAGCGTCTCCCCCAAACCCTTCTGGTTCCCCCTAGTGAGTTTATAGACGGTCACCAGGTCCCCCCTCAGCCTTCTCTTGTGGAGGCTGAATAGGTTCAAGTCCCGCAGTCTCTCACTGTAGGGTCTGCCCTGTTGTCCCCGGATCATGCGGGTGGCCCTCCTCTGGACCCTCTCCATGTTGTCCACATCCCTCCTGAAATGGGGCGCACAGAACTGGACACAATACTCCAGCTGCGGCCTGACCAGCGTCGCATAGAGGGGGAGGATCACCTCCCTGGCTCTACTCGAGATGCACCTGTGGATGCACGACAAGGTCCGGTTAGCCCTGCCAACCATGACCTCGCATTGTCGGCCCATGTTCATCTTGGAGTCAATAATGACACCAAGATCCCTTTCCGCCTCCGTGCTCTCAAGTAGGGAGCTCCCCATCTTATAAGTGTGCTGCTGGTTCCTACTACCCAAGTGCAGCACCCTGCACTTGTCCGTATTGAAACGCATCCTGTTCCTGTCTGCCCACCCCTGTAACCTATCCAGATCCTTCTGCAATCTCTCTCTCCCTGCTAGCGTGCTCACCTCCCCCCAAATTTTGGTGTCATCAGCGAATTTAAACAGGTTGCTCTCCACCCCAACATCAAGATCGCTGATGAAGACATTGAACAGCGCAGGGCCCAGGACCGAGCCCTGAGGGACTCCACTACCCACCTCCCCCCAAGTCGAATATGATCCATCCACCACCACCCTCTGAGTGCGACCCTTCAGCCAATCTGCAATCCATCTGACCGTGTAGGCATCTATGCCACAGTCGCCTAGTTTACTAATTAGGATGGGGTGAGAGACGGTGTCAAAGGCCTTGCTGAAGTCCAGAAAGACTACATCCACCGCGACACCTGCATCCATGGCCTTTGTGACCTGATCATAAAAGGCAATCAGGTTGGTCTGACATGATCTCCCCCTAATAAATCCATGCTGATTGCCCCTGAGCATCATCTCGGATGCCGGCCCATCACAAATGTGCTCCTTGATGATCTTCTCAAAGAGCTTCCCCAGGATTGAGGTAAGACTGACGGGCCTATAATTGCCCGGGTCCTCCCTTTTCCCTTTTTTGAAGATGGGGACCACATTAGCTACCTTCCAATCGTCTGGCACCTGGCCCAAGCACCACGATCGCTCGTAGAGCCGTGCCAGGGGCCCTGCAATAACCCCAGCCAGCTCCCTCAGCACCCTGGGGTGGAGAGCATCCGGACCCGCTGACTTGAACGCGTCCAGCCCCTCCAGAAGCTCTCTAACCCGGTCCTCCCCAACCTGAGGTCTGAAGGCGATCCCCTCGCGTCCGGCTTCTATCACAGCAGGGAAGTCCCGGTCCCTGCACAAGAAAACGGAGGTGAAGAATTGGTTAAAGAGGTCCGCTTTATCCTCTGACGCAACCACCAGATTGCCCCGCATATCCTGCAGGGGCCCCACATTACCCGGCGCCTTCTTCATCCTCCCAATATATTTGAAAAAGGACTTTTTGTTATCCTTAATCCTGGACGCTAATCCGAGCTCTATCTCCGCCTTGGCCTTCCTAACAGCCCGCCTGCAGGCCCGAGCAGAGGAGGTATACTCCTCTTTGGAGATTACACCCCCCTTCCACCGGGCGTACGCCACCCTTTTGGCAAGCAGGCATTCCCGGACACCCTTGGTGAGCCAGGGGGGCTTTTGGACACTCCTGCCCGCCTTGCTTCTTGTCGGGATGGACACCCCTTGGGCCCCGAGTATCGTTTCCTTAAGGAACGACCACTCCTCTTGGATGCTGAGTTCCTCTGCCCTCAAGGACCCCAGTTCCTCTCCCACTAATCTCCTCATCTCACTGAAGTTGGCCCTCCTGAAGTCTAGGGCTACCACCTTGCTGCGGGCCCTTGACACTCTATGCTGGATGGTGAATTCCAGCACGCGATGATCACTATTGCCCAGGTGGTCAAGAACCTGGAGGCCTCTTACCAGGTCGTCGCCTGCGGCCAGGACCAGGTCCAGCAGGGCATCTCCTCTGGTGGGACTGTGCACCTCCTGAATCAAGTGGAGGTCCTGCAACTCGGCCAAGAACCTCCTGGAGCGGTCCGTCCCGGCTGACTGCTCCTCCCAGCATATGTCCGGGTAATTAAAATCGCCCATGACAACTACATCCCTT